ATGTGTAAATTTATTAAAATTAGCAGTTTTTTAAAATGACGGCTTAATTATTGATTTTAAATCCTGCTTGAAATAGACTTGGAATCCCATTTGCTGAATGGCTACTCAAATTATATTACATTGGATATACATTTATTTTCTAATCGATGTTTCTGGTGTCACTCCACCCATAGTGGAAAATGTTATTATACCAAATAAGATGCCTGGGTGGTATCCTTCTAATGAGACAGTACATTATGAACTCATCAAACCTTTAGAATTGTTTGGTGAAGGAGAAGTGATATGATTTTTTTGTTTGTTTGTTTTGTGGGAGAGCATGAAAGGGGGCAGAAGGAGAGAGCAGAGTCCCTGCTGAGGAGGGAGCCCCATGCGGGCCTCAATCTCACAACCCTGAGATCATGACCTGAGCTGAAATCAAGAGTCAAATGTTTACCCGACTGAGCCACCCAGGTGACCCCAAAGTGATATGTTTAAATGGAACTGGAGAGAACCACCTCAGTATGAAGGAAGATTATCTCATTTCCCCCCAGGTTTTATTTATTTATTAAAGATAAAGTATGTTGCTATAAGTATGTCATGAAATAGTACTTATGGAATTTTTTTTAAAGGTTTAAAGTTTTATTTCTACAAATCACAACTGATAAACACCAAAGCCTTTACCTGGAGAGACCATGCTCCAACTCAGGCTGGGAGCAACGCTCTGTGAGAAGAGCTATGCTTCCAGGAAAGGGGGTGGCGCAAGAGGCAGAAACCCGGGAAGTCCAAAGTTCAGGATCAAGAGGGGTCAGGGCCTGAGGGCCTCAGCCTGAGCAGCCCCAGCAGCTGCAGTGTGCACAGGCGATGATCCGGCCCACTTTCTGCTTGCTTTTGGGGACGCAGAAAATGCAGCTCCTCCCCAAAATTGGTGTCTGTGTCTGAATGCAGCACAGGCAGCATAAATTCTCATACCCCTGCTTTTTCCATTTTGTGATCAGGTTTTTATCTGATTTTATCATAGCCTTCTTTAATACAATATTCATATTGTTCTCTGCTTATGGCTTTCTGCTTCTAAAAGAGGTCAGAAATATAATGGGTTTTCTGGTGCTGGATCCTGAAGACAGACCACAGAGATTCCACTTTCTTTTTTCCCTCATGAGGTTCTGTTTCAGCTTCTCTCAGCTTTTGATCTAATTCATCCAGGGTTGGCTCCATCAACTCCCAACCATCTGGGGGAGCTTTCTGGCTTCTTTTGACTTTAGGCATTTTTCCCACAAGATAATTTGCAAAGATCATCTGCTTCCCAAGGGTATAACAGAAAGACCTCTGGTCTCTTCAGTTACAGGCTTGGGTTCTTGTCCAGCTCTACCAATTATTACTCTGTGACTTTGAGGAGGTCACATTCCCTTTCTGGTCCTCAGTCTCATCTGAACCACTGTCACCATCAGCCACCATTTCTCTTTTATGGAATATTTTTTAAAATACAAATAAAATGATGGTACTTAAAATTCAGTTTTTGGGGGGCAGACTGAACTAAGTAATGTAATATATTTGTTTCGCGAAAGATTTGGCCAGATTAAAAAGAACAGTTGGAATCATGGAAAATTATCTGTCATAAGCATTAGACACTGAGTTATTTCCTGAGGAACAAATGTATTAAAGCTACCACAAATACATTTGACAACCCAAGAAATTCCACTTTGAGACATGGACTAGGCAGCTGCAGTGTGATCATAGAAGGTGATATAAATTTGGGCTTCTACAGCATGTGATTATATTTCAAGGTAGTTTACTACCTGAGTTTATCCCAGGGACCAGTGAATACAGGAAAAAAAAGTCTGAGTATTTGGTCATAGAACTCTCTAGTATTTAGAGTTCAGGAAATAAAGGGAGTCAAAAAAATGTGTTATTATATTAACCCTTTGTAGTATTTCAAATAAACTTTTGCCTGGCATATATATTTTCCAGTCTTTTACTTTGAACCCACCTATGTTTTCATGTTTGAAGAGAGTTTCTTATAGATGCCATATAGCTGGGTCTTGTTTATATCATCCTGACATTTTTAGTCTTTTTTTTTTTAAAGATTTTATTTATTTATTTGACAGAGAGAGACACAGTGAGAGAGGGAACACAAGCAGGGGGAGTGGGAGAGGGAGAAGCAGGCTCCCCACTGAGCAGGAAGCCCAATGAGGAGCTTGATCCCAGCACCCTCGGATCACGACCTGAGCTGAAGGCAGACGCTTAATTGACTGAGCCACCCAGGTGCCCCATTTTTAGTCTTTTAACTAAAGTATTTAAACCATTTACAATTAAAGTAATTATTGATAGATTAGGGACTGTATCAGCCATTTATTATTTGTTTTATGTGTGTTTCCTCTGTTTCTCATGCCTGTTTTCTTGCCTTCCCTGTGGATTTTTTGAACATTTAAAAATCATTTTATTTTGATATATCTACATTGTTTTTGAGCGTATCTCTTTGTGTAGTTTTATTAGTGTTTCTGTAGGTATGAAGATGCACATATATAGCTTATTACTCCCCCCAGGATTGACATTTTACCACAAGTGAAATGTGGGAACCTTGCTTCCATTTAGGTCCTTTTACTCTCCCCACATTTTTAACATAAAGCTCTTAGGTATTTCCTCCACATACATTAATTAGCATGTGATATAGTCTTGCTCAGACATCAAATCATATCAAGTGATTTAATTTTGTACAAACATCAAACATAATTTAACCAACTAACTAGGAAAAAGAGAGTCTGTTATATTACCCTATTTTTATTAGTTCCATTTTTTTCTTCGTTCTTGAAGTCTTAATTCTTCTGTTATCTTTTCCTTTCTACTTAAAGAATTCCTTTATAAATTCTTTAAGGACAGGTCTTCTGGAGACAAATTCTGTTTCCTTTGCCTCAGAATGTCTTCCTTTCTCCCTTAAATCCTACAGGATAGTGTCACTGCATATAGAATTTGGGGTTGACAGTTCTTTCTGACCCCATGGTCAGAGATGAGCACCCCACTGATATTTGAGTCCTTTCTCCCCCATTGGTTTGCATAATTTCTATCTAGCTTTTGATACTTTTTTCCTTTTCTTAATAGTTTTCAGCAGTTTGATTATGATGTATCTTGGCATGAATTTCTTTGGGTTTAACCTGATTGGAGATTTCTCAGCTTTTTTAGCATACATATTTATGTCTTATGACCAATTTGGGAAATTTTCAGCTATTATTTTTTGAAATATTTTTTTCATTTCCAATCCCTTCCTCTTTCTTTTTCCTAGTATCTACTCTGTTATTTTCCCACAGGTCCCTGAAGCTCTGTCCCCTTTTTTGTTTGTTTGCTTGTTTTCAGTCTATTTTCAAAGTGAGTGATTTGTATTGCTCTACATTCAAGTTTATGTATCCTTCTGGCATCTGCAATCTATTATTGAGCTCACCTAGTGAGTTCGAAAAGAAATGGTTAGTTTTCAGTTCTATACTTCCCATTGAATTTTTAAAAGCCACTGTCAAATATTTCCAATATCTGTGTCATTTCAGTGTGATCTTCTGTTGATTTTCTTTTCTCTTTTGAGATTTTCCTGGTCCCTGCTATGATGAATGATTTTCAGTTATATTCCGGACAGTTTGAGTATTATGTTTTAAAGCTCTGCATTTGGGGCATCTGGGTGGCTCAGTCAGTTAAGCGCCTGCCTTTGGTTCAGGTCATGATCCCAGGGTCCTCGGATCGAGCCCCGCATAGGGCTCCCTGCTTGGCGGGAAGCCTGCTTCTCCCTCTCCCACTCCCCCTGCTTGTGTTCCATCTCCCACTGTGTCTCTCTCCCCATCAAATAAATAAATAAAATCCTAAAATAAATAAACAAAACTCTGCATTCTTTGGAAATGTTTTATTTATTAGGCCATCATTACTACCATGCAAGGTACAAGTCCAGGCTTCCCACTTGGCTTCCCCCAACATCACGGGAAAAGGGAGTGGTGTCTTGTTCTCTAGGAGTGTGGGTAGAAGTCTAGGCTCCTCACCTGGCCTCTGTTGATCAAGGTGGAGAAAGGGGTGGTCTTAGGTTTCTTCTATGGTGTTTCTCTGGAGTAGTTCAGGTATTGTAAGAAATGCCTCTGTCTTGCTAGGCCTGGGCAATCTCTTTTTATGTTGGAAGCAGAAATGTTTTGACCTCATCTTGTCCAGAATAGGAAGCTAGCAGTTGCCTTTCACTTTATACAAACATGTAATTCTTTGAATTTAGGAAAGGGGGGGATATTTATTTTGTAATAAAAATGAAAATCAATAAAAAATGACTAGAGATCCTACCACTTGCATCGACATGGATGGAACTGGAGGGGCTTATGCTAAGTGAAATAAGTCAGTCAGGAAAAGACAGTTATCATATAGTTTCATTCATATGTGGAACATAAGGAATAGTGTGGGGGACCACAGGGGAGGGGAGGGAAAATGGAATGGGAAGAAATCAGAGAGGGAGACAAACCATGGGAGGCTCTGGACTCCTGGAACCAAACTGAGGGTCTCAGAAGGGAGGTGGGTGGGGGAATGGGGTAACCGGGGGATGGGTATTAAGGAGGGCATGTGTGGTAATGAGCACCGGGTGTTGTTCACAACTAATGAATTGTTGAACACTACATCAAAAACTAATGATGTACTCTATGTTGGCTAACTGAACATAATGAAAAAAAAATGACTAGAGATCCAGTGGATACTATAGTAAGTTGTATATAAAAATGACCTTTCTGTATCTAAGCTATCCATCAGTTCAGCATATATTCTCTAAGCAAAGCATTTTTTAATACTGAAATAATGCAAAGCAGACATATTTGTTAATGCCTTATGTGTGCTTTCATGTGGGGTGAAAGGAAGGGCTCAAAAATGTAACTCTCATTTTAAGTGATTAAAAATTCTTCAATGAATCATTTATGTTAGCAGAAATCACATGTCTTAATATGAAGGACTGTGTTGTATCTTTATTGCTTGCCTGTGTTTTCCTTTGGTCTTTCAATAAATCAAGTAATGTTTTTTTTTAGACCCTAAAGGAAAATGTGGTCCCCCTCCACCTATTGACAATGGAGACATTACCTCATTCCCATTACCAGCTTATGCTCCAGGATCATCAGTTGAGTACCGATGCCAGGCCTTCTATGCACTTCAGGGAAACAGGACTATAATATGTAGGAATGGACAGTGGTCAAAACCACCAAAATGCTTGGGTAAATATTTTCATATTTTCATAGATCCTGGGAAAATTTGTGTACTGAATATGATGTTTTCTTATTTATAGAATTTTCATGGATTAACAAACAACAATTCTGTTGAATTCTTGACTACCAAATACTAATATTTGAGGAAATCAAGTTGGAAAAATTCTTGTTCAAGCAATAAGGGCAACAAAAGATTCTTTAATAAAAGTTCTTCGTGTGATAGCTGACATTTTGCATTTTGATTATAATATCTAATTATTATACACTAAACCCAGTACCTCATTTTTACATCCTTTGTTTAAAATGATTTAAATCTACATGATGGATTTTCAGTGAGTTGGTTTGGAACAAGGTTTGAGAATGAAGTGCTAGGCCAATGTAGAATAATCTACTTGAAAGTCTGAAATTCTGTGGCAAATATTTGTATGCTACTTAATGTTTTATATTCATTTTTGTACTTTCAGATGCATGTGTGGTATCACATGAAATCATGGAAAAGCATAACATACAATTACGATGGAGACATGAGAAAAAATTTTATTCTAAAACAGGGGATAATATTGAATTTACATGTAAAGCTGGATATCATAAAAAGTCACCAGCTCATGCATTTCGAGTAACCTGTTGGGAAGGGAAAGTGATTTATCCCACTTGTGTATAAAGCAATGGTTAAGATGCAGTCCTAAAATTAAAATATGTACGTTTATCCCAAGTTTTCATTATGAATCCAATTCTTCTCAGTTATTTTTTCAACTATTATTTAACTCATTTTTATTCATAAATCAGAATTTGGTGTTAAATAGAATGTGGATGATATAACCTAAGAGACAAATGAATCCTTTCTTAAAAGCACCATATTAAAACTTGGTGAACCAAAATGCTATGTGTCCTATTCATAAAATATCTGTGTCAAGAAATTAGTTGTGATCACTTCCATGCCTGCTTCTTTCCATCCTTCTCCTAACTTTCTCAAAGCTTTCTCCATAACTCCTGAGGCTTCCTGAGGCTCTCCATTTCAGAGGAAATGGGGGAAAAAAATGCTTGCATCTGTCTTCAAAATCATATCACTTCACAAACACATAGAAACCTAATTGTGTCATACCTATGTTATTAATGAGATATACGAAATTATCATTTACTTTTATTTATCTCTCAATAGATATATATGCCAAAAATGATGAAATGCATGATCTCCTATAAGATGTATATCTAGCAAACATAATAATTCAAACAAATCATGAAGAGGAATTCAAATCTAATTAGGTGCATAACTATTATTACATTAAAAGTGATTTCAAAAGTCCAATATCAAGTATAGACACACACACACAGAGACACACAGACACACACACAGACAAACACACACACACTATGTTTTGAACACTGAATAAATGTTTATAGAATAAAAGCTGGCAGAAAGCACAAAAATTTATAATAACTATAATTGAATTTAGAGATAATAGGGGGAAGAGTGGCTGTTTAGCTCCTTTATACTTACCTGTATTCTCCAATTTTTCTATCTTTAATATATATCGCCTTTGAACCATAGGATATGTTATTTTAAAATAAAGATATGTAAAAAGTAAGACAATATATATCAAGAACTATAAAGACCTCTGGTGATTATCTTCAGATCTAAAAATATTTTCATGATTTTGCTGGTATGGAGGGCTTTGGAAACATTCAATGACAAGTCTGAAATATGATTTTTATGTTCATACATTTCAAGCAGCATAATTAAAATCAGTTGACTATAAACATTTTAAATTTCTACAAAAACACAACTTTAAGATGAAAATCAAGATATACATAATTAAGATAAAAAATTTTTAAGGTGATATCTTGTAATTTTGCATTGCATTAAATCAAGCGGCATTGTTGCTTAGAATGAGAAACCCGGCTGTCACCAAGGGAGTCAATTTATCTAAATGTGCATCCTTGGTGACAGCCAGTTTTCTCACATATAAAGGAACGCTGTTAGAATTGGCAAGTTATATTTGCTGTTAATGTTAATGCGTGTGTATATACTCTTCTCCAAAACCTTTCACCTAATGTTTGTGGAATCTATTTATGATACTTGTATATAATCAATTATTTCAAAATAGTGATTTTTAAGATCAATCGTATCGTTTTTTTGCACTTATTGTCATTCTTGGGTAAGGATGAGTGTTAATTTATCAACTCTGTTTAAATTAAACTTTCACCTAAAAAGATTCGATAAATCTTTATTTTTGCCCTTTATTTCCAATTTTTGGAGTAAGGACTTGATGCATCAGTGACCTTCTGCGATCGCTTTAAAGTAATTTTTATTTACTCAGTCTGTCACAATCAATTATAATCATTATTCTTTGAAGCACAAATGATCCCACATTTGGCTAGTGAGTGCCTTGCAACTGGCTCTGGATTGCTTTGTTATATCCCCATTAGTCTTTGAGTATTTCTCTTCTTTTTAGCACAACATGACATTCCAGGCTCACTGTCTATTTCCACTGTGCAACACCTATAATCACATATCTTTCCAAGAAGTTCTGATTCTTTTTATTGGAGAACAGTACTTAGAATCCAAGTTGTACTATTCATGGTAGTTGGGAGTGTTCAATACTGTTGAAGTGTCTTTACTTCCAGGGTCTTTCAGTTGTCAGAAATTTGAAATAGAAATGAAATTTCAAATTCATTAGTTCCTATCGGATGTTCCAATTCAAGTTTAATAATATAGGGTTAAAAAAAACCTTTTTAACACATTTTCCCCTTTTCTCTTTACTTATATATTCTTATATTTCAATATCCATGAAAACAATTTCAAAAGTGTCATGCAAACATTACTATCACCAGTTAAACTATCAAATGAAGGTTAAAATGTCTTGTGTTTATTTTGTCCCAGGATGCTTGACTCTGAGTGTAAGTACTTTCTTAAAAAGCAACTTGAAATGATTCTTATCTCTGATTGGCTCTCTTACCAAATTAAGAGTTTTACAATTATTTGCATTAGTTTTTTTTCAATTTTTTCAATTTTAGATTTTGCTCCTTCTTACTTTTCTAATCTAACTTTATTTTTTAAAAGATTTTATTTATTTATTTGACAGAGAGGTTACCAGTAAGCATAGCTGATTAGCCATGAATTAACAATCAGGCAGGGTGATGATGTTCCTCCTAGCTACATTCTTCTCTCTTTCTTTCTTTAATTTATTTACTTATTTTAAAGATTTTATTTATTTACTTGGCAGAGAGAGAGACAGCGAGAGAGAGGGAACACAAGCAGGGGAGGGGGAGAGGGAGACGCAGGCTTCCCGCTGAACAGGGAGCCTGATGCGGGCCTCTATTCCAGGACCCTGGGATCATGACCTGAGCGGAAGGCAGACGCTAAACGACTGAGCCACCCAGGCGCCCCTCTAATCTAACCTTAAACAATGGAAAACATCTACGTGTTTTATAAGGCAGAGTGATATGAGAAGGGTCTTTATGCAGAGTAGTCTTCCTTCTCTCACATCTGTTCCCTCATTGAATAAGGTTATAATTTTATTACTTTCTGAAGTGTCAGAAAAGAAAGATTAGTCTTTCTTTTCTTTCTTTCTTCTTTCTTTCTTTTTCTTTCTTTCTTCTTTCTTCTTTCTCTTTCTTTCTTTCTTCTTTGGAGAAGGAGAGAGAGCACACAAATAGATGTCAAGGGGCAGAGAGAGAGGGAGAGAGAAAATCTTAAGCAGGCTCCATGCTCAGCGTGGGGCCCAACATGGGGCTCCATCTCACACTTAGATCATGACCCGAGCTGAACTCAAGAATCAGTCACTTAACTGACAAAGCCACCCAGGCACCCTATTAATCTCTTTTTTGTAGAGATTATTTTACACATTTATCTGTCCCTTATTATTTTCATTTTAGAATGTATCTCGCTTAGACCATTCTGATATTTTTACTATTACAGATAACAATATGATGAATACACTTTGTGGACATATTGTCAGGATACGCTGCTCAAAGTGAAATTAATGGATCATGAGATAATTTCTTAGGTATTTCAAATTATTTTTCACAGGGGTCTTGTATGGTATCCTGTAATGTTCTAGAGAGCCTACTTTTTCTTGGCCTTGTGAAGTGAGAATATTGTCAACTTTTGACTATCTTTCCTGTTTAGTAGATAATAAATGGACCTCTGTATAACTTTAATGTGCATTTTATTATTTTGAATGTGTTTATTTGCATTTAAGATATTTAAGGGACATTTGTTTTGGGTTTTTTTCTCTCTTAATTTTCTGATTAAGAGACTAGTCCCTTTTGCTATTATTTTTCCTTTGTTTAGAAATAATGAGATTATCACTTTTCATTTTACATTTCTGTGATATAAATTAGACATATTTTCCAAGTTATTATTAGACTTTTGAGTCCACGTTAATTTTTTGAGGAAGAGATTTTTGAATTTTATGCACGTATAATTATTTTTTATTTATTCAAATTCTGAATCCTTTTAATGTTCTATTCTTAGCAAATGCACTCAGGCTTTCAGACATTGGTCATTCTCTGAATGTGTAGTGATAATTAATGTGTTTCTCTTTTGAGTTTCACTGATGAATGGTGATAACTGAACACTTTGTGCATAGGTTTGTTAGGTGATTTTTGCAATTTTTAAGTTGGGTTATTTTTTTCTCTTGGTTTATGAAACTGCTTTATATGGAATACATATTAGTCTTTTATCCAATATATGTAGTGCAAATGTCTTCTCTCAATCTATGGCTTGTGTGTGTGTGTGTGTGTGATGTTTTTTGATGGATTCGAAATTTAAGTTATTACTGAAATATAATTTGAAATCTGTTAAGTAAATATTGGTTTATCATGAATGACTGAAGGTATAACACTATCTTTTCTCTTAGATGATTTATATTTAGGCCCACAATCCAGTTTCAGTTAATCTACTTGGCATGACAAAGAGGCTAGGTTTCCATTTTGTTAGTCATACCAAAATCCAATAGTTATTTCACCATATTTAAGAAAACATTTTCTCTCCTCATTGAATTACATTAGTGCATAAAACAAGTGATCTGGGTATTGATGTGTATTTCTGGACTCCCTTTCTTCTGTTGATCAATTTGTCTACCATTATGATACTACCACATGATAGAGTATGCTTAATATAGATATAGAAATCTGGTATTAAAATCTTCCAATTTGTTCTTTTTCAGGACAGCCTTGGCCATTTCCAAATGCATTTGAATCATGTTGTCAATTATTTTTGGTCAAAAAAAGAGACTTTTATGTGGGTCATATTCAAAGAATAAATTAACTTGGGACAATTGACATCTTGTATTGTCTTCCATCCATGAACATCATAGAGTTCTTCCTTTACATGTCTTTTTAATTTTTTCTCAGTAATATTTTGCAAATCTTAGTGTAGTGATCTTAAAAATATTTTGTAAGATTTATGTTTCAATATTTTGTTTTTCAATATTAATAAAGGATTTTTTTAATATTTCATTTTCCAGTTTTGTGCTTCTAGTATAAAGACATTATTTGTTGTTTGGGTTTTAATATCTCTTTTTTGTGGCATATGTGAAATTTTTTAGAATTACATAATTATGTTTTACTCTTTCCTTACAATTTTATTGCATGTGTTTTTCATTGCCTTACTGAATTTGAAATCACCTGAAACCACATCCATATGCTTCAGATGGAGAGAGCCCACCCCTTGCAAATTTTCTGAGATAGCAGCTGCAAAGCTGACAGTGAATCCCCACTTGGACTTGCTGCCTGATGGGGACCCAGGGTTTCTTCCAGAACATTCTCCACTGCAAGGCAGTCCAGTTCCTGCCATCGTCTCCCTGTTCCAGTTTCCTGGTTATCCTGACCTGTGTGGCTCATGCTTGTGCAATTTGCACCCCTTCAGTCAGCCAGAGGCATCTGAGGGCCTCCAGGCCTATGGAACATTGGTCCCCAACCACCCATATTGCCTCCAGTGTGAAGGAAGCCCACCCCAACCATCTTTCTGAGGTGGCTACCTTATAGTACCAAGAGTCAATTCAGTCTCCATTTGGACTGGCTACCTGATGGCGTTGGGGCTTATCAGTGCCCCAGACTCCAGGTGCCTTTTAGTGGAGGATAATCTCACCAGTTTGGCCAGGGAGTCCAGGTTCTTCAGCTTTGCCTTCAGGGAGAATATTTCTGTGAGCTAGGGCTTGGAATTATACAAATGTCAAAGACCCCCAAGAGCCTGTTGTTGAGACTTGGTGTCTCCTGACACTTAAGTTCCCAGTCCCTGGCTTCCCTGACCCCTGGGGCCCAAGCATCCTATCAACAAGCCTTGGGCACCTGGGTCTCTCCAGGCCTGTGGAGT